CCACCACCGGGTCCCGGCACAGCGGCGAGGGGGAGGGGGAGCGGAGATCAGTAACCCGGAGAAAGAGCCCCCTCACAGAGGCCTGAGGCCCAGAGCCCCCAGGCGAGAGCGCGTCAGGGGCTCTGCTCCCAGAACCTTCACCAGGTCTCCCGGGCTTTCAAAGGAATGACTGACAGACCGGGAACCGGGGGTGCAGAATGGCACGGTCACTCGCTCCTGCTGTCACCCAAGGGCAGAGAAACAGGGTGCAAGGTGTGCAGGGGGAGTCCAGACAGCAAGGGGTGAGGCCCACTTCCAGGGCAGAACGAGGCAGAATCCCCTCTGAACTGTCCGCGACGCCCACACCCTGCTGGTCGCTGGCTTCACCCTCTCACCCCCGCCCTAGAGCACACCTTAAAGGGAGTGGTGCCTGTCCACCCCTCACTCACTCACCTTTCTCGCTGAGTTGTCTGAGCAGATGTCTGGATGGCTCTGATGAGGAAAGCAAACAGGCAGTCAGAGCAGGCCTGAAGCAGCCCGGCCTGGCCCTGGTCCCATGCTCACAGAGCCACACACCCATCATCAGCTCAAAGTCCACTCCAGCGGGGGGCCCCTCACAGCCCGAAGGCCTGAAGGAGGCTGCCCTCGCGACCAGCCCACAGGGAGACAGGGCCCAGGCCACTGCCCCCACCCGCCTGGGGACTCTGCTGTGACCCACAGCCAAGAAGCAGCCCCGCCCCCCATCCTTGCATTAGCACACAGTCCGGGGCCCTCAGCTCCAGGGCCACAGCCCCCTGCTGCCCCCTTCAGAATGACGAGCCTCTCTTGAGGGCCCTGGCTCCACCGCAAGCCCCACCTTCCTTCCCTGCACGGAGCACATCAGCGCTTTAGCTACACCCAATGCCAAGCCCCTTCACAGCACCCCAGCTGGAAAGCAGAGGTCGCACCCGACTTTCTATGGCCCTTAAGGCCTGGCACCGTGAAGCCTCGCTGCCTGCTGGGGAGTGTTGCCCGGTTGTACAGGAGCTGACCAGGCTCTGAGGACAGAATACAAAACACATCCATTAGGCTGATGGTGTCAGCACCTCGCACCCCGCCTTTTTTGGGGACAGACCTGAGATAGGGAGGCATGTCTCAAGGAACCTGTCTACAGAACCTTGCCCTTAGCCCATATTGCCCTTGACCAGCTGGCATTCAGTGGGAGGCCCACTATAAACTTGGAACCACAAGGAAAGTCTACTGAGGTCTCTCAGCTGTTCCTGGACAGGAGAGCAAACTTAAGAACCTTCTTTCTAAATGTGCACATGGGCACACACATACCTACACTCTATCTGCATCGAGGTAAGTAGATATCCAGTTGTTCTTAAAGTGAGAAATACAAAATGCTCTTCTCTTTCATTTTAAAACTTGTAATCAAGAATATTTAATAAGCGGACTTCCCTGGTGGCACAGTGGTTAAGAATCCGCCTGCCAATGTAGGGGACATGGGTTCGAGCCCTGGTCCGGGAAGATCTCACATGCCGCGGAGCAACTAAGCCCGTGCGCCACAGCTACTGAGCCCACGTGCCTAGAGCCCGTGCTCTGCAACAAGAAGCCATGAAAAGCCCGCACACCACAACGAAGAGTAGCCCCCGCTCGCCACAACTAGAGAAAGCCCGCGTGCAGCAGCAAAAAAATAATAATAATAAATAAATAAAAGAATATTTAATAAGTGACAAATGATGACAACACCACCTTACTTATCCATATAGTGTACTTATCTGTCCATCCCAACTCTCTGGAAGTAGGAAGCAGAAAAGGCCCAGAGGCAGTCAGAGTAGATGGCTGAGAGCAGGCCCTAAAGCACGTCCACTGGCCTGTATCCTCCCTCTCATCGACTCACTGGCCTGCTTTTACACATGCTTCCCGCACATTAAATCGATTAATTTCTAACAGAAGAGGGAAGAAGGGCTACTAAAGAAAAGCCAAGACTGATAAGGAGAACTCTTCAGTGTAAAGATGGACACAACACCTCAATGCCAGCTGTCTCTATGGCAACCCACAGCCCCGCCTCCCCCCCTGCCCCCCCCCCCCCGCCCCGCACACGCCACAAAGATGCTGCTACACCGACTCCAGAAAGGGAAAAGTTCAACTGTGTGGGCCTCCTCTATTTTTAAAGGCTCAAGCATATGAAGCATGTTTTAGAAAGATGTCTGTTTCATAACGATTAACACTAAAACATGAAAACAAACAAAACCCAACTCTCAGTGCTTACAGGCTAAAATCTCAGCCTTGTGGAAACTTGAGCTCTGAAACGGATCATTTCCTGAGTGCCTTGCTTGCTGCAGTTTGGAAGCTGACGTTATGACAGGTAATATTACTATTACCACCATCACCACAGTCACTTACTGACTACCTCCACGTGTCAGAAGCTTCCAGTTCAAAGCTATGGCAAGTTAAGGGGGAATGTTGGACAGGAGGATTATAGGAGAAGAAAGGAAATGGGGGAACTCCCTGGCGGTCCAGGGGTTAGGACTCTGTGCTTTCACTGCCAAGGGCCTGGGTTTGATCCCTGGTCGGGGAACTAAGATCCTGCAAGCCAATTTGGGGCTTTTAACACATGGCACCGTAGAACTTTTGCAACCATGGCCAGTTTGCCTAGGGTTCGAGATCCATCAGCAGCAATACCAAACAAAACAAAAACACAAAAGCTTTCCAAAGACTGCTCAGCTCCACCCTCCAGAAGACCAAAGCCCGTACATCAATCCACACAGCTGCTCAGAGGACCCGTGAGTCATGCCAATCAAACCCAACTCACTGTGGGGATCCCAGTCAGGACACATCTCCCATCACTCCTGAATCTTTCTCTCTAGGGGTCTCTGAGATGGTTCTCACCCCAACTCCCACCTCATGTGTAAGTTTGACAAGTGCCTGGCCGAAGCCAAATCCATCCCTGGGCCTCAACTGAAGACGAGGGTAAAAACCGAGGCAGAAAACACACACATTCACCACTACAAGAGCCGAGAATAAAAGCAAGGTTTTCTCTTTTCAACAGACGATTCACTCCAACACCTCCAAGTACACAAGCCGTCATGAAAGAAAACCCAGAAAAGCAGAACTTTTCCCTGAGACCCAAAGTAAATATTTCCTGTCTGGATTTGGTGCCACTTGAAATCTAACTCATTTTCCCCACGTCCTGCCTCTGCTCTGTTCCAGAACTGGGCTGGGGACCATCCATGACGTCTGAGCGTTACTCTGGCTGACTCCCAGTATTCTAAGTGGCAAAGGAGGGAGGTTTTGATCGCAGAGGAGCTAAGAAGGGGGGCCTTGGAAAAGGAGGGCTGTCCAGCCCTGGGTAGGCAGGAAGGGCCCAGAGGGGCCTGGTGGAAGGCAGGATGCTACAGACACACCCCATTTACCCTCCTTCCTGTCCTTTCCCAGGATTTCCGGAGGGTGAGAGCCAGCCCCAAATGCCGCTGCAGAAGGTTCCCCGCCTGGTCAAGGGTCCTGGAAAGAAGCCTCTCTGCCCGCACAGCCCCTGCCTTACCAGACTGCCGGCGCCCCTGGTGCACAGGGGTGGACACCTCATCCTGGGAGGGCTTCTTCAGACGCTCTGGGCTGTGGCGGTACCGATTGGGATCTGCACCAAGGGAGACAACCAGGCCTTTGGGATACCATCAGCCTTGGCGTGGACTCTCCCCATTCCTGACCACAACTCTGCTGCCCAGCCCGGCTCCAGGGGCCACAAGACTCCGGAGCTCCCTCCTCTTCCATCTTCCATCCTCTTCCATCCAAGAGCACGAGACACAGAGTCCCAGCCACCAGCAGCACTGAGCTCTAGTCTCGCAGTAGACCCCCAGTCCTGACAGAAGGAGCCTCCCCATCCTCCCTGCTCTCTGGAATGTAAATATCAGGCAAAGCTCCCCCAGGTCTGACCTAGAGATGTGCACCACTAGAGACAAAGCAGGCAGAAAGGGTACACTTACAATAGGAATCCATTTCCAAGATGGCTTCTTTGGCCTGGAAGGGAAAGGAAACCCACCTCGTTGCTACCTTGCTACGTGCCGTTTCTCCCTCGGCCCAAAGACTCACTCTTGCTGCACCGAGGACCGTGGCATCCGCTGAACTGATCCCCACTGTCCAGTGGGGCCAACGTCCAGAAGGTGAGGCCCCAGTGGACCCCGGAGCTGGTTCTGAGGGACCCTCTCCCTGTACCCCATCAGGAGCCCTGGGAACTCACCTTCTGGGGGATGGTGGTATGGTGGTTCTCCAGGATGAGCCTCTTGATGTGGTGAGTCCAGCTCCGTTTCTCCTCCACAGTTTTGGCCTGGGAGGACCCGAGGGAGAGGGTGCGGGGTTTATCATGACAGGCCTGAAGCCATCCAGCGTGCACTGGGCTTCTGCCGAGGAGGGCAGAGGCCAAAGAGGGCCTGTGCTGGGGGCTCTGTGAGGTTACCTTGACTCCTCAGCACAAGCCGGAGAGGTGCCCACAACGACCTCTCCCTTCCAGAGGGAGACTCTGAGGCTCGCGCCCCCGAGCGAGGGGGCGGGTTCTGTCCCCAGCCCGCGCCCCAGCCCGCCCCTCACCTGGATGTTGTACTGCTGCTTGCTGTGCTTGTAGTGTGTGACGGTGAAGCATGGGGATTCTCTGGTGCTCTCAATCAGCATCAGGGAGGAGCACTGGGGCAGAGGGAGAGGGCAGTCAAGAACGAGGCGGGGAGCTGACCTGGGGCCCCAGCCCCTCAAGACCATCTGGGGAGGCAGGGAGAGTAATCTTTAAGGGTGGAGCTGTGTCCACACCAACCCGGGGCCCAGTGAAGGCGACACGGAGTGGAGCCCGGCCGTCGGGAAGGTGGGAAGGGGGCAGAGGAGATGGCGGTGGCCTCGTTACCGGGATGTGACCCTTGTAGACAAAGTGATCTCCCCGCTTCTTGGTGATGAGCAGTGCTTTGTCAAAGAGGAAAAAGGTCTTCTCGCTGCGCACACGGTGTACGCGGAATGTGCCCTCCAGGACGAGCTCCCCATAGGTGGTCAGGTCTGGCCCCTTCCAGTTGATGAGCAGAGACTGAATCTCCTGCAGCAGCGAATCCCCGACCCCCAGGGTCAGGGTGCTCGAGACCCTGCTGGGGACCACACAGGGCCCCAGGAGCCACCGCCTGGGTTCTGCAGAGACATTCTGCACCAAGGGCTCCGCCCAGAGAAGCCCATCCTCACCGACACCACCCCTCAGCTCGCATTCCCTCTTCCAAACCCCGCCCCGCCCCTGCCCATCCCTCCAGCTACCAGCCCCAGAGCACCTGGAGACGGACTGCGTGCTCATGTCTCCTCTTCATGTCGTTGATGTACCAGGCCACGCAAGTCATGGTGTCAATGGCGTTCTCTACCACCTCAAAGCCGTCCTCCTCCTCATCAAAATGTTTGGCGATTTCCTGTGCGGGAGACAGGGGCTTAGGCAGCCCAGACTCAAGGGCCGGGCCCCTCCCTCAGGCCCCTGTGTACTCGGGAGGACCCTGGCGTTACCTGGAGTAGCAGGTGGTACTTGAGGATGCGCTGGACTGGCTTTAGGAGGTAGGAGCCCAAGGGCAGTGAGTGCTGCAGCAGCTCCTGCCGGTCCCGAAAGAACTTGGCCTGCTGCTTGTCCTGCATGCACTCGGTCAGGGCAGCCACTGAGCTGGGAGTGGAGGAAGGGGCCGTCACCAGGGGAAGGCCTGCGTGGGGAGGTGGGGTGCTCTGGACTCGCCAAACGGCTCTGCTTCCCCTCTCCATCCTAATTACTCACTTGGGGTAGTTGTTGCAATACTGGGTGTAGATATCAAACTCTTGGCTCTAAAGAAAGACCAAAAATAGTTAATTTCAGGGAGACTCCCGTTTGGCTATAAACCTGGGTGCATCAAACACATGCCCCTGGCCCCCAGAGCACACTCTCCCCGAGCATCTGCAGATCCATCTCTGTACCCATCTGTCTCGGACATGCCATCCACCCAGCAGACCCTGGCTCCACCCCAAATGCCCTTCCTATCTGAGGCCGGGCACTCAGCACTTCCCCTGGAGAGAGGCCCCCAGCAAGGCAGGATGGAGGCAAGGACCCTGTCCTTCTTACCCTTTCCACAAAGCAGCTGGCCACAGCCACCGGGTCACTATTGCAGCTGTCCAGGTCTCTGAGTAGCTGGCTGGGTAAGGGGAGAATGGTCATCAGACCCCAGACCACTCACAGCCTCCAGTCACCACTGCACCCCCTCCCCACCCTCCTGGTGCCCACACACACGCCAGCGCTGGTGTCAGCGAGCCCTGCCCAGGGCAGCCAACACAGGAAGTATCCAGCACCACTGCAAAGGTGGGGGACAAAAAAGAGCCATGTGTTCCACAAGCAGGAGAGGGAGAAGGGTCACCAGTACCCACCTCGGGAGGGGACACAGCTCCTCTGCAGGCAGGGGTCAAACACACAAAAGCAGACATTAAAGGGGGAAGGAGAGGGGGGGAACTCGCAAAGAAACCAAGGCCCCCAGTTCAGAAGGATGCAGGAAAGGGGAGAGACAGCACTGCTTGTTCTTAAATGGGGGCTCTATAGGAAACCCCAGTGCTCCCCCTGCCTTCCCCTCCTGTGCTCCTCTTTGCCCAACCCCCCCCCCCACCC